ACATTAAACTTATATCCTGTACCTATACTAAATTCACTTAGTAGTTCTAGTAGCTTTTACATAGATCCCTTAGGATTTTCTACATAGAGGATAAAGTCATCTGTAAATAAGAACAGTTTTACTTCTTCCTTTCTAATTTATATATATTTTAATTCTTACCAAAATTAGGACCAAAAAGAGGCAAACTATATATGGTGCACCAGAAACAAGCCAATGTTTAACTATATAGGAGAAAATTAAGATGGAAAGATTTTTTTTATAGGATAAAGACTTTTATGTAATTTCAAGAACTGTATTTTGCAAATTTTTGTGTTCCTAAATGAATTAAATTTAACTGTCAAACTTTTATTCTACTACAAATTATTCTTTTAATCTATTTAGGAAGATGTGGAGTATCATGAGAGATCACAGAAAAAACTAGGTAGTTTTTTCTCATTAAATGAGATTGAGAATTCCTGGCTACCAGTTCTTTACCCTGGCTGGTTGTGGCTCAGTTGGTTGGGCATCATCCCATACACCAAAAGGTTGTAGGTTTGATTCCCAGTCAAGGCATGTGCCAGGATTTCAGGCTCAATCCCTGGTAGGGGATGTGCAGGAGACAGCCAATTGATGTTTCTCTCTCTCTTCCTCTCTCTCTCAAAAACTCAATTAAAAATATTTTTAGCCCTTGCCAGTTTGGCTCAAGTGAATAGAGTACCAACTATCCTGTAGACTGAAGGGTCCTGGGTTCAATCCGGACAAGGGAACATGCCCAGGTTGTGGGTTCAATCCCCAGCGGTTTTTGCTTATGAATGGCCTTCTCTATTGCAGTTTAACCTAGCAAACTTGCAACCCGGTGCAGACAGCTTCAAAGCCTCTAAACTCCAAGCAGGGAGCAGAGGTCAGTGGTTCTTGCTGTAGCTCCTGCAGGGTGGCCTCAGACAGTAGCTGGACTGCACCCCATTGGAGATCCAGAAGCCAGTGTATCTAATGGTCAGTGTAAGATACCAGATTTCAACTCCTCACATCCATAAGTGACACATTCGGGAGGCGGACTCAGTGAGCACCAAAGCCTCACTGAAACAAAGCCTGCACCATAAGCGTGTCTCCAGCACAGCAGTTCTTCCATTATTGACATACTGGGTCATCACAGCCAATTGGCCTGAAGGTCAGTTCCTCCCAGTGTACCAACAGCAATCAAGGCTTAACTACACCAAGACTTTGCATCAGCCTACAAAGGGGTGTACCAAGATCAACCACCTTGGGTGACTGGGGAAGCTGAGCTACTGGCCCCTATAGATCGCCTACCACACAAAGCCACTCCATCAACACAGGGAGGCAACCAAATGCAGAGACACAGAAGCATGTCACAAATGGGAGAGATGGAGGAAAGTAAACTACTGGACAACACAGAGTTCAGAATCACATTTATAAGGTTACTCAAGAATCTTCTAAAAACTGCTGAGAAACTTGAAGAGATCTTCAAGGACCTTAATGAGAATACCAAAAATATGGAAAAGGACCAGTCAGAAATTAAGCATACACTGTCTGAAATAAAGAATATACAGAAACTCAACAGTAGATCAACATACTCCAAGAATCAAACCAAAGATCTGGAATATGAGGAAACAAAGAACACCCAACCAGAGAGGCAGAAAGAAAGAAGAATCCCAAAGTGTGAGGATAGTGTAAGGAGCCTTTGGGATGGCTTTAAGCGTACCAACATCCATATTTTTGGGGTGCCAGAAGAAGAGAGAGAGCAGGATATTGCAGGCCTATTGGAAGAAATAATGACAGAAAACTTTCCCTACCTGGTGAAATAGACTTACAAGTCCAGGAGACACACACAAGAGGAACCCCAAACAAGAGGAATCCAAAGAGGACCACACCAAGACACATAATAATTAAAATGCCAAGGGCAAAAGACAAAGAGAGAATCTTACAAGCAGCAAGAGAAAAACAGTTAGTTACCTACAAGGGAGTACCCATACGATTGTCAGCTGATTTCTCAACAGAAACTATGCAGGCCAGGTGGGAGTGGCAAGAAATATTCAAAGTGATGAACATCAAGAACCTACAACCAAAATTACACTACCCAGCAAAGTTATCATTCAGAATTGAAGGTCAGATAAAGAGTTTCACAGACAAGAAAAAACTAAAGGAGTTCATCACCACCAAACCAGGATTACATGAAATGCTAAAGGGTATTCTTTAATAAGAGGAAGAAGAAAAAGATAAAGGTAAAACTATGAACAACAAAAGACATCAAATACATACCTACCAACAAGTGAATCTAAAAACCAAGTGAATAAAAAATCTGAAGAACAGAATTGCACTGGTGAATATAATATAAAAAAGGGACACAGAAAGGAAGTGGACTGACAATTCTCAGAGGGAGGGGGTCAGAGGGGTGCGGGAAGAGATTGGATAAAAATCTTACACCTATGGATGAAGACAGTGGCAGGGGGTAAGGGCATGGGGTGGGGTGGGGAATCAGGTGGAGGGAAACTATGGGGGGGGGGAGGAACACCTATAATAATCTGAACAATAAAGATTTATTAAACTAAAAAAATAAATAAAAATAAAGTCTATTTTTTAAAGTATTAAAATATTTTTATTAATTTCAGAGAAGAAGAGAGAGAGAGAGAGAAAAATCAGCGATGAGAGAGAATCATTGATTGGCTGTCTCCTGCACACCCTACACTGGGGACCGAGCCCACAATACAGGCATGTGCCCTTACCGAGAGGTAATCGAAGGGTGATCTCCTGATTCATAGGTCGAAATTCAAACACTGAGCAACACTAGCCGGACAAAATATTTTTTAAAGTATCAGATATATATATGCATGTAAATATAATCTAACTTAATTGTCATAATAACCCTGGAAATTAGATGATCTTAGTGGATGTATTTCTATTTTATAAGTGAAGAAACTGTGATTTAAAGAGGGTAACTCAGACCTGACTACCAACCTGACTCTAGCACCATGTGTTTTCCACATCCTTGACTTCATTTGACTGCTGTAGCCCTATCCAGCATTATTAGCCAACACTCATAATGAGTCCTGGAGTCTGCAACTGAATAAAGAGTAAATTGCACATGAAGCTTCAGTTCTATAGCACATGGTTTAAATTTGCAAAACATGCTCAGTATATACAGTAACAATTAATCACAACACTCAAACTAACAAGAATATTAACTTCCTCTCTACTTTTCCGGGCAGCCCAAAGCTGACAGATGTTTACAGCTGGTTTATGAACTGTGAGGCTGCATTACTTGTTAGTGGCCATACTGAGGTTCACTCGGTTCTAAGCCAGCAGAGCCTGGAAGTCCTCCAGATCCATATATTCAGCCTCAAGAAGGATACAGGGTTATTTGGGTCCCTTTGCAAATCAATGAGCACTTCCACTAGCAGTGGTTCTCAACCTTTCTAATGCCACAACCCTTTAATACAGTTCCTCATGTTGTGGTGACCCCCAACCATAAAATTATTTTCCTTGCTTCTTCATAACTGTAATTTTGCTACTTTTAATGAATCGTAATATAAATATCTGTGTTAGGCTCTACAGCAGCGGTTCCCAACCTGTGGGTCCTGACAGGTTCCCACAGGTTGAGAACCGCTAGAAGGGTACGCCTAAGGCCACTGGAAAACACAGCAGATATTTACATTACACTTCGTAACAGTAGCAAAATTACAGTTATGAAGTAGCAATGAAAATAATTTTATGGTTGGGGGTCACCACAACATGAGGAACTGTATTAAAGGATCACGGCATTAGGAAGGTTGAGAACCACTGCACTGGAGGAAGTCAGCTATACAAAGAAAATTTGCAGAAGTAGCAAATAATCAAAGGGAAATATAAACACAAAGGGCAGACTTGAGTCCTCATGCAACCACAGTGGTGAAAAATAACTGAATTTTTATCCTAGCCCATTAAAAGGAGTGAGGAAAGCAGGCTTGTCATTTGAGGATCAGAAGCAAACCCAACAGTTGTGGGAGATGAGTCTTGGCAGTGGGAAAAGAGGGCCCAAAATAGACATATTAAACATGGCTAGGTGAGAGTTCTGATCAGCATGTATTTTTAGTAATGGCACATTTATAACTTTCACATGTCCAGTTCAAAATTAGTCTATTAATATATTTTTAAAAAAATGTTTTTTATTGATTTCAGAGAGGAAGGGAGAGGGGGATAGAAACATCAATGATGAGAATCACTGATTGGCTGCCTCCAGCAAAATGAAAAAACAAACAACAAAAAAACTTCAAATGGCTCCCATTACTTTTGAAATCACAGCTATAATTACACGAGAGGCCCGATGCACGAAATTCGTGCAGGGGGCTCAGCCCTTGTAGCAGCCCTAGCTTCATCTGGAAGGTCGTCTGGAAGGTCCATCTGGTCTAATTAGCATGTTAGCTCTTTATTATATAGGATGGGTGAAAATACAGATGAAGTAAGATTAGCCAACTATTGATTAAGGCTGGAAGATGAGTACCCTGAGATTATTATACTGTCTTTCTTCTGTGCATGTCTGATATTTTCCACAATAAAGTGTTAAAAAATGAATAACAACCAAGAAACAAAGACCGAATGCCAAAGACCATGGTTGACAAGCACCTCCATGGTCTGGCCCTCTGAACTCCATGTTTGTTCTCTGCCTCACTAATCTAACTGGTCTAATTTCAGTTCTTCATATACACTACCTTCTCTCTTGCTACAGTGCCTGCACATGCTGACCCCTCAATGTGGAATGCCTTCCCAATGCTTAGTTAACTCCCACTCATCCTTCAGAGATCAGGGCAGCCTTCCCTAAGAAACTCCTGTCCACCTGTCCATATAAAGTTCTTCTGTCAGAAGCACTGACTGACTGATGTTCTTCTTCTAGAGAATGGTACTCAGTTTATGATCAAACATTTCTGATTGTGATTATGTAAACTTCATAAGAGCAGAATCCATACTTTTGCTTATCAGTGAATACCAAGCATCTGCAATAGGATCAGCTCTTTAAAAGTAGTTGTTGAGTGCTCACTTCGGCAGCACATATACTAAAATTGGAACGATACAGAGAAGATTAGCATGGCCCCTGCGCAAGGATGACACGTAAAAGTAGTTGTTGAATAATCTATTACTATTTAAGACTATCAAGGCAACTGCTTTCAAATTTTTATAACAAAACATTCTTTTTTTTTTTTTTAATGTTATTTTGGTCCCAGTTTCGCTCTATTTGCTACAGAGAAATTGTTGATATTTATTCCCTTTGAAGATCCCTTCATTTGAGATACTGGAGTCTTCAACATTCCTGTGATAAAAGTATCATGATTACCAACCAAAAATAACCACACAAATCCACCCCTGGCCTCTTTTCACTCTTTGTGGTTGCTTCTCCTCTCCTCTCCCCCAAGCCAACATCAAAGAACTGGAGACACTTGGGGATAAATTCCCTGCCAGATCCCAGGAGCTCTCTCCAGCTCCTGCTCCAGAGGCTGGCCCACACACTTCTATTAGAAACGCTTCAGCACAGCCCCGGAGCTCACTCGGAGCTGCACTCGCTGCGACCACATTCATATGCCTTCGCCAGTGTATCCCAGGCATCAGCGCAGTGCCCTGTAAATGGGCTTAGCTTTTTATTTTAGCAAAACTCCTGGGCAATAGGCAAAAAACAGAAGATATTAGAAATTAAATCTAATTTAAATAAGTTTGGTTATTTTATCATGTTAACATTCAGTATAACAATTCGTGTAACTATAGAGTGACATATTGAGTATTAATTTCAATACTTCTTAGAAATACAATGCTGACACTAAGGACCATTAAGTGCTTAGGACCCTAAGAAAGAAATGGCCAGCCAGGAGACTCAATTCATCAAAATACCACCTGAACATAAAACTACATGAAGCATCTGGCACAGGCTTCATCAAGTAATTCAGAAGTCAATAATCCAAATTTCTAATTGAAAAGAAGCCAAGTAAAAATTTAACTTTTATACTATCTATAACCTGCTAAGTAAATCAAGAATAGAGTCCAAAAAATTTAGACACCCTCATTTGAAAATAACCCATGTTAACTACAAATCACTCTTGTCAGTTAAAGCTAGATGGTGAGGAGTTCCCTAGGATATGGTCTAATGCCATGCATATACATATCTATGAATCAACAAAGTTCTGTAATATGTAGTTCACACTATTAACTGGCATTATGACTGGTAAATAAGTCGGAATTAAGAAGATCCTTGAAAAACAAACATAAGAGGAAGAAGGACCTACTATAGTTTTAAACACAAAAGTGGTCTTTAACACCAGAGCAAGAGTAAGTAAGCCTTAAAGTTCCTTTTTAAATATTTGGGAAAATATTCTTCATAAATTTTAATTACTAAAAATTGTAACAGTAAAACTACCTACTCAAAGCTGAAAAAATGGCAATGAAAGAACTTCATGTATTTTTAGAAACTTTTTTACCAAGTTCAATAAAAAAGTTTAACAGAAGTTATCTTTCAATCTGGGAAGGGAAGTTCTCAAGACTGATTTATCACTTGCTCAGTATAAAACCTGGGCTAAAGAGTAGAGCCTTCTGAAAACTAGACCATTCCTACCTGCAGGAAAGACTGCATTTCAATTTCAGACAGATGGAGCCTGTCTTTAAGGAAAGACTGCATTCATAGCCTATTACAGTGTTTATCTGCTGATTGTCACAAATCTCCGATGTTTGCCCTTATACTTAACTACCCTGTTTCCCCGAAAATAAGACAGTGTCTTATATTAATTTTGTTCCAAAGATGTGCTAGGTCTTATTTTCAGGGGATGTCTTATTTTTCCATGAAGAATACGGTACACATTTATTGTTAAATGAAAATAAAGGAAATTTATTACCTGTATACGGTACGGTGGTACGGTAGTTGTCAACATGTTTGTGAGACAAACTGTGAATCCTACAGTATCAAGAATTTACTCATTTATTCAATGACAATCATGTCATCATCTTCTGGAACATCATCATAACAATCCAATTCCTGAATTTCCTGGTGAATTTCTTGTGACTATTTCTTTTAGAATCTTTTAAATCTCTCATGTTTAGCAATAGCATTCTGAGACAGAGCCTAGGGGGAGGCCTTATTTTCGGGGGATGCCTTATATTTCACTCAGAAGGAAACCTGTAAGTAGGTCTTATTTTCGGAAGATGTCTTATTTTTGGGGAAACACGGTAATTCCTCCTGCCATCATTAGTCCCATTCTGGTGTTTATTGGGAGCAATATGGTTACATAAAACAGGACAATTATTAAGTAACTAGAGGCCCTGTGTATGAAATTCATGCATGGGTGGGGTATCCCTCAGTCTGGCCTGCACCATCTCCAATCTGGGACCCCTTGGGGGATGTCCAATTCCCGGTTTAGGCCCAATCCTCTTCACAATTTGGGACCACTGGCTCCTAACAGCTCACCTGCCTGCCTGCCAGCTTGATCGCCCCCTAACTGCTCCCTGGCTGGCCTGATTACCCACAACTGCCCTCTCCTGCTGCCTCATCAACCCACAACTACCCTAGCCTGCCACAACCCGCCTCCTCTGACACCTGCTTCCTTTGCGCTAGGAAGCAGAGACGCCGGGATGGCCTCCTCTGTACCACACAGAGCCTTGCGACCCCCAGGCCTCACTGTGTGGAGCAGCCACCGGATCCCACCTCCGCTGTGTGCGTGGCCATCTGTGGCGGCCATCTTGTGATGCCACTGAGCTAAGGCATGACACCATGTAGGCTTTTATGATAGAGGATTCCACTTCTGTCTTTCCCTTTTAGAAGTGTACAGCCAGCATGGCTCAGTGAGTGAGCTTTAACCTATGAAACAGGAGGTCATGGTTCAATTCCCAGTCAGGGCATACACCTGGGTTGCAGAGGCAGCCGATAATGATTCTCTCTCATCACTGATGTTTCTCTCTCTCTCTCCTCCCTTCCTCTCTAAAATAAATAAAAATGTTTTCTTTTGTTTTGTTTTGTTTTTAAAAGAAGTGTGGCTCTTTATCTGGCAGCTACTAGACGTTTTAAGTGGTGGCCTGTATTGCCAATTAACAGTATATATGCATAAGGCGCCCACACAGCACTGGCCAAATGTTTAATAAGCCAGTCAGTGTGTGTATGCCTCCTCAAGTACCAGGTAACTTAAGAAGACTGTTCAGGTCTATCGTTCCACAGACCTTGATGTGTCATATTCATTGTACAATTTGCCAGCCAATCTCTTAAAATATTTAGAGAATTTTTAAAATAAGTCTTCTAATTCCTTATCTGTTATTATATCACCTACCAGTGGAATTAGGTGACAGTTTCCAGTTCTATTTTCCCAGGAAAAAGCTTTGACTGGAGAGAACCAAGATGGTGGCGCAGGTAAGCACAACTGTACTCTCCCTCTCCCACAACCACATCAAAATTACAATTGAAATATAGAAACGCCTGAAATGTGGCTGAATGGAAGTCCTACAGAGAAGTAAAGAAGAAAGCACATTGAGACTGATAGGCGGGTGGAGGCACAGAACAGGCTCGTCTGGCACCCACATGCAGCGTATTTTTAAGCAGAAGAGATATCTCCAAGACCTCCAGTGAGAAGCTGGGGTCCCAGCCCCCCCCCCCGCCCCGGGGCTCTGGAATGGGAGGCTTCTGCAGCACCCAGCATCCGGGGCCAAGGTCTTGGCTAGGGTCAGGGGTGGGGCCATAGAGTTTACAGAGGCAAGGCTGAGGACAGGAATGGATCCCCGTCACCAAGCCTAATCAAGGACAGGAAGATCGAATCCCTGAGATCTATCTCTTCTCCCTGCCCATTAAGGAACCTGAGGTCATTGACTTTTTCTTGGGAGCATTCCTCAGGGACAAGGTTTTAAAGGTTATCCCAGTGCAAAGCAGAAACATTGCTGGCCAAAGGACCCAGTTCTAGGCTTTGTCTCCATTGGGGATGACAACAGCCATGTTCTGGATGGTAAGTTGCCCAAAGGAAGTAGCCACTGCCATCCATGGGGCCATCGTCCTGGTCAAGCTCTCTGCTGTCCCTGTACGGCAAGGGCACTGGGGGAACAAGATCAGCAGCCCCACTCCGTGGCTGCTGGGCTCTGTGCTGGTGCCTCCTCCCCACCCCCAGGGCACTGGCACAGTCTCAGCCTGTGTCCAAGCATCTGCTGCTGGTGGCTGGTATGGCCAGCTGCTGCGCTCGGCCAGGGCGGCACTGGCACCCTGGGCAACTTCGCCAAGGCCACCTCTGAGGCCACCTCTGAGACCTAAGCTACCGCACCCCCGAGCTCTGGGAAGAGACTGTGTCCACCAAGCCTCCCCGTCAGGAATCACTGACATCCTGGAAAGGCCCTCACCCATTTCTGTGTAGAGGACCCAGGCTCCCGCTGTGGCCAACACGCAATTGCATGCAAGAAAAATACAGTGAATTCAGTTTGCTTAACAAAACAAAAACGCAATGAGAGCTCAGCTCTGACCTATTAGAATGGCTGTCCTTAAAGACAAGAGGTAACCATGGATATGGAGTAAAGGGAACACCTGGGCGCTGCGAGTGGGAATGTAAATTGGTGTAGCAACTTTGGAAAACTGTATGGGGGAAAAAAATTATAAGTAGAACTACCATATGATCCAGCAATTCCATTTATGGGTATATATATCCAAAAGAAACAAAATTACTATCACAAAGTGATATCTACACACTTATGTTCACTGCAGCATTATTTACAATGGCCAAGCCATGAAAACAACCTAAAAGCCCATTTACTGATGTATGCGTAAAGATGATGTGGTGTACACACACACACACACACACACACACTGGAATATTGCCTATATATATAAACAGCTAAGTGGCCAACCTGCAGGTCGGCTGGTACATATGACGCATACTGGCAATTTAAAAATAAAAGTTGACACACATGCGCAATACATATAAAGCTCTCACTGGCACCAATCGCATGCATGTGTTTTGGTCTGTCATTGTTGATCGTGGAATTTGGTTGACACTTCTATTATAGAGAAAGGGCAAATAGTGATATAAAAATGTTTCTCCTAATTAATTTCTTTTTAATGTGCATGAACCTATGCATTGGGCCACTAGTTCAGAATATAAAAAAGAAGAAACCTTACCATTTGCAACAACATGA